AAATTCTTCATTGTCTCGGTGACGAAATACCCTCTAACTATTCGGACCGTTGAGATTGAATTTCGATTTATCTGAGAATATAACTGTTTTCCATTGCTCAGAAGTCTATTTCGCATATTGTTTGGCCCATTTTAGGCCACTGGATGCCATTTTATACTAAATACAGGCTTCTTTCCTGAGCGGCATGCATTACTTTCGGCATCCACTTGCGGCTTTCCTGTTTACTGAAACAGTTTGACGGAATTTTGTCAGCAAAGACCCAAGATGTAGAAATAGCAAACCTTCTCTCCACGGCAGTTTTATAACACTGTAAGGCCAACCAAATCACTGGTAGTGGGTCACTTGCTCACTCAAAAAAAAAATTCATTTCCTCTGACAGCTGATGCAGTTTGCATTATCGATCAATCCTTTTAAGACGTTTTTGCGAATTTGTACTCAGAAAATGAGAGTGATGCAATTCTCGTGTACACTTCTGTATGTGCAAATGTTTTCTACACATAAAATATCTTAAAAAATGCAGTCTTAAAAAATGCAGACATCTGTGAAGCTGTCATATCTTTTTGCAACAAAATTAAGTATACATTTACTAAACTGAAATAGTATTAACTTTTGACAATAATAATCTTTGTCGACAATTTTGATTGAGTTTGATACCAGTAGAATTTGTTCTACATAAGAAATTATTCCAATTTATATTCATAAAATCCTTCGCATCAAAACGTTTTTCATCCTTCAGGAAAAAAAGCATTCAATTCATCATGCTTTAGAAATTAATTTTAATATATTTAGAACTTTACATCTGCATTTATCTTTTATTACATACTCACGAATCAATGCCGATTTCTCAATCAAAAGTCTTTCATTTCAAAGATTCTTTTCAAATGCTTTCTTTGGAAGCGAAATATGTAAACAAATGGAATAAATATCCTGGTGCAGAGCGTAAAAAAGAAAACCACGCATTTGTTTAGTGAAAGATCAAAAGTCTTCTTTAAAATTGCATTTTCCCGATATTCTTTTGTTAATTAAAATAAAACCTTTATTTCTGAGAACCGTTACGCTGTTCCGGATGATTTCAGTGCTGATAAATTATTCATTAAATGAATAATATATTTTTGGCTGAGAATTATAAGAGTGAAAGAAATAAAAAATAATAATTCAGATTTATGAAATTTAAATTTTTTAGTACGGATGTCGAAAATGTCGCTTTATCAATCTGAAAATGCTGCTTTGTGATAAAAAGGCGGAACATTGACGTGAATAATGCTGATATGTCGCACACACGTTGTTTTTACTCATTTTTTGCATAATTTTACAAGTGTCAAAGCGACTAAAATTAACTTTTGATTAAACAAGGACAGATTAAAAATGCACTGTATAAGAAAACAGACTTATTTATAGGCGAATAATGGAAAAATTATTGTCACAAAACATCAGCTTCAAGCAAAACTGTCAACATAAAATACAAAAATGAAAAAAAATTATAAAAAAGCAATAGACTAGCAGGAATAACGGATGATTTTTGCGACATGAGCCCTACCAATAAACAAAAAGTTCTAACCGACTTTGTTTTTTCAGTGAGTATGAACTCAGTAACTCAATGACATTCTTCAAGTTCTTTTGTAAACTGAATAATGTTGTTCAATTTACATTATTTGATGTAATTCTTCAAGTTCTTTTGTAATTCTTTAATAATGTTGCGAAATGTGTGCTCCTGGCTGTCTCTTTATTTAATCATTCCGAATGAGCAGAATGAGAACTAAATTTGTGTAAATTAGCTCAAGAAGAACAGAAGCAATAAGGAATTACTCTTTAAAGCACGAGAAATATCATTAATTCCCCCAAGTCACTGGCAAAGTAAACCTAGATTTCAGCTAGCTCTCTTTGAACCGCAATACCCAGAGATTCCTTCAAACCGGTGCAATACCAGGGTGTCCAGTTCCTAAGACCAACCCCTACCGAAACACTCATGCTTTCGAATACATTGGTGTGAACTGGATTTGAATATTGAAGTTGTGACAACTTTTTTTATTGAAGTTAATGCTCAGAATACAGTAAATTTTAGCATAAGCAATATATCCTAGGAGCACAATACAGATCTTCGAAAATGCTTAAAAAAGAAAGAATGTTTTGCTGTTGAGCTATCGAAAGCTGAATTGAGGAAAAGAAGAATGGAGCTACATGCATTGTCAGAGAAAGTACAAGAATAATTAAGATACAAATACAGGGCATAAATAGGAGGACTATACAAATATCAGAAGATGTCAAATATGAAATTCACTAAATGTAAACTAATTAAACAAGAAAAAAATTCAAATACTTTTGAATTATAAAAATATGCACTAAACGAAAAAACTTCCCGCTTGGCTATGGGTCAGTTTGCCACTATATATGCCTTCAAAAATGCTAATTATAACGAATAGTTTATCCATATGCTTTTCCAAACATCAAATTTCTTCAATTCGCGCAGCTCTAATTCTAATGACATCAAATATGGGGCAATCAAAAACAATTTTGTAACTTCTTTGTATATTTTAAATATACGATTGAAGGCATTGAGCATGCTTATGGAGTTCTTTTTAGTTTTTTTGCACCATGGAAAGTTTTATTACTTCTAGGATTTTCAGGAAGCTTTTCCTGGGATGTACTATTTCTTGCTTTGCTACCTGGAACACTTACATAATTTGCATTTCGCTGGGTAACTTTTCTAGGTATATTAGACGTCATGTTCGGCTTGATTTTCGTGATTTTCGGCTTGATGTTATTTTGATGTCTACGTGGCATGCTAATTACTCAAAGCTCATTAACAACTGATATTCCTGGGTCTCGAAGCCGAGTTTATATAGTACTGCACTGGAAGCTTCGGGAAAAAATCGCTCATAGACTTCAATGCGTTTACCCGAATCTTCAAGAAAGTAGCTAAGTTAGAGAGAAATGGCTGAATGCTGCTAAAGCCGAGCAGAAACGTTTTTGTTTTTTGTCCATATCTCGTGTTCTAATGGAGCTATTTTTTGCAGTTTAAACATTATTGGACTCAAAATTGAGAGATTTACAATTATGAACAAGACGAAAAATTCATATACAAAACATGAGATCATAAACTCAATTAGATAAAATAAACTTTAAAGCTGATAACCAAAAGGAAAATATTAGATAAATAAAATAATATACAAAATATCACAACAAAACACAAAAGCAATAATTAGACCAAAGGGATTTAACTATTTACAGAATTTTACAATAGTATCATTAATAACTTGGTTTCTTTATGCCAAATTATGGTTCTTTCGTTATTTACAGCGTTCTTTTTGTTTGAACTGCTATTTTAGTTTAAGTAGCGAATTTTGTTTTTCAGATTAAACTGCTTAAAAATGCAAGTACGCTCCTCTTAGTATTTTTCTGGGATATAACCTGTTAATATCTGTTCCCTGTGCTTTCTAACTGCCCTCTGGTTAATTGCAGTTGAGTTAACTGTGGATGTCGTCTGTGATATTATCCTGGTTAATCTGGGGTAAAACATTAGGTAACAAGAATCGGCATAACATAAGTAAATTTGACGAAATAAACTAAAACTTAAAACTAATGTTTTAATAATAAAGTGTGAAAGAATTTAAAGAAAAGGTTAATTAAAAAATATATAATCCGTGATATTAAATAAAAACTGAACTGCAATCTTATCGTGATAGACACACTTTAGTTTAACAACTCCCTTAGAAGGAATTAGAGGATTTTAGGGAATTAGAAAATTCCTAAAATCCTCTAATTCCTTCTATGCGGTTATGACGATGAAAGTTATCCTCGTAAATGAGAGTGGGTGGTTACAGCCTAAAGTACCTATTTTAAAGTAACTTCAGAACTTTATAAACTCCTTATCTCAAAAATTAAGTGGATAAAGTATGATAAATGAGTTGGTTTGGATAAAATGGTAGAAAACAATTGCTAAGATATCATTTATCATAAAATTACGGGACACAGAGATTTAAGTACTTATGTAATAGAAAAAATAGCTAATTATACAAAAGTAGTTCTAAATTTATTTTGCTGGATCCCATGCACACGAGGCTCACAACAAATATTTTCATCAAATGTTAGTACTTCATATTTCATAAAGCTAACAGTTCAGAAAGTACTGTAAGCACATAAGCGCTTACGGTGCTTTGATTTTTCTGTTCTTGAAATCCGTAAACTGTAAAAACAGTTAACCTCTCGAAGATGTTTCCTCTGAAAAGTGTATAAATATTTATACTCATTTAAAACGTTAGATTATGTAAATACTATATTTATAAATAATTTTAATGATGCTATAAATGCGGTCAGCATTTTATTTACTTGTTAAGTATTTAGAGTTAGTTTATGAATATAAAAATATAAATCAAATTTTGGTTTTTTATTATTTAATTTATAAAACGCATTTGAAATAATCTAAAATAACTATACATGTATTTTTCGAGTATGGAAAGGAAGGGGATGATAGTCTAGCAATGGTTAAAGCAGGGCATAGGACTAAACAGGGCCCCACAGTAACATCACATCAAGGTCTAAGGCGATAAGTTTTCGTTTCATATATTTATAAATTCATATTGTGTTTGTTTACAGTTTTACATTTCAGACTGCGCTCGTATTAAATTAATAAATATGATAAAACTAGAAACATGGGATTTCGACACTTAAAAAGATTTTTGATTTCTGAATTTCTATTCAGTTTTCTTTATTACAAGATTCACGTTCGGCGTTTCAGAACTTAGCATTTTTATAAGTCTGTTTCCATATTCTTCAAATAATCCAGCAAATGTGTGAAAACCAAAATGATTACAGAATTCTTAATAAGTTTGATATGTAGACACCTTCCAAGACACCTTCGTATTGCATGGAAAAATTCACGCAAGTAAAGATTTTGTCAACTTTCTCATCCGAACTATTTCATAATACCACTAGCTATGTTTGTAATCAATCTTCTCATTTTTTACGATTCGTATTAGATATATATGTAAAAATGGACTTACCGTCTGTACAGTAAGCAAACTAATGCATGCAGTGCAATATTCACGAGATGATAGCCAAAGGGTTTCAGTCCGTGCAGTAGGTAGTTGAGTCTATAGGTAAAAACACATACAGGCCTGTAGGATTTGTGGCTTTGTTCCTATAAACAAAAAACAAAGTAGTAAGACATGTTTTCTTTCGCAGACTTTTACTTTAAAACAGATTTTTACTTTAAAACATTTCAAGCTCCGCTTTACCCTTTTCATTTATAATCGTAATGTGTGTCATCACGACCACACAGTGCTTATTTTCTTCATCTCATTTGAAACTACAGCTTAATTCAGCATATTCGTTCGTGCGCCTTTCACAAAAGTACCCTAAGTTGAAATGCAGTGGGAAAACAATTAAAGCGCTCTATTATCTTACGCAATCGTGCCAATTTTCGTACTTTACATATTATATTATTGTAACTATTCTTGAAGTGCCCATTGTAAAGTAACAGCCTATAATTAACTGTCTAGTTTTCTTGCCATTTCTTCTTTCTTTCTAAATACACGTCAGACATTTGCAAATGAAAGACGAAAAGTCATCAAGAAGATAGTATAATTATGATGGATGTACTAAGATTAAGAATGGCAGTAGTATCTGACTGAGTTTCGTAGCTACTATATTCGATACAGTGATCCACTATGAGTGAGTTGAACATGTCCATACGAGGATCCACTAAGAGTTGAACAAGTCGATACGTTGATCTACTAAGAGTTGAATATGTCGAGGCGGTGATCCACTGAAAGTCAAACATGTCAATACGATTATCCACTAAGAGTTCAACGGTCATAGAGTCAAACTTCCACTCTTTGACAATTCCTGATAAATTACGAGCGGCCCAAAAATCGCGCCCATCTAATATTCAAAAATTATGTAAATTCCAAAATAGATATTAATGGCAAATTGTTTGAATGAATGACACTTCTGTACTGTTAGAACAAATATATTGCTAGAAATTTCAGTTACATGAAGACATTAAGAAGAAAACTGTTTGTTAAGACCATTAAGGAAACCGTTGGTTAAACCTTTGAGAAGAAAACCGTTTGTTTGGTGCTAGAGGGAGATGAGATGTTCTCAAGAAGGAATAATTTTTGTGATTTAGCATTACTTTGCATCAGCCTTAAGGCTGAAAATTGTCCATAGCAGAATCATAAACTTAACTCTTTCGCATCGAAGTCGCCCTAAACGCCCGAGCATTCAGACATCGGCTTGGACGCCCAAAACGCCTGAATAATTTCCTACCCAGTGTGCTTTCCCCCATCACGTTACTGCATTACTCATTGCTTTCAGGTGTTGTTAAATCACATGTCAATCATTCTTTTGAAGCCACTAAAAGTAGTTATATTAATTTAATGGCACCTTCTCTTTCCTTTGTTTACTGTCAGTGTTTAGCTTTTGATGCCGGAAGTTGCAATCCCGTCCCAAGGGGGAACTTCACAGAGTGTCAAAGCGTCCAAGAAAGGAGATCTTAACTCCAAGAAAGTTTATCTTTTTACTTCCAAATACAGAATTCGATTTTAAAGATCTGCTCCGAACGATTAGTGCAGATCTGTAACAGAAACGTTTTGAAAGAAATATAAGATGCAAAGTGAAATTGAAAAAGCAAAATCATTAGTAAAACAACTGAATATAAATCTAAGCAGTGACATTGCACTCGAAATTATCATTTGATATCATTAATGGCACTAGTCGTAATTTGAGAAAACTAGACTTCCCTTTCACAGCAAATTATCATTTGAGAGAAAATAGAGGATATTTTTGTATCCAAAACTTAAGCACTTCATTACTACTAAGCAAAAAATTTGTCTCATTCTTTTTAATGTCACCTACAATAGTCAGGAAAGATAAGCAAAGTCTAAATTCCTAGTAAATCACATTTTTTATCTTCGAGCTCTTTTGTAAAATACTTTTTAATACACTGAATTACCTTATCATATAATTTACAATTATATAATTATACATTTTCCCTTATGCTGAAGAGTCTTTTTTTAAGAATTTTATTTTCTGAGCTAAAATAAAGCAGGAAAATAAACATATATGTATGTCGTTGCCCAAAACTACAGCATTCATTTTTAAAAGAATCTTCTTAAAAAAACTTGAAATTGGACATTTAGTAATTATATTATGGTCCTTTTTCCTTGCACAGAAAGATAAAATTAATTTACCTTTTCTTAAAATATCATACATGCCCTATTTTAATTTCAGGAACAAAAGAAGATTTTTTTTAATCAAAAATCAAGACTACTGTATTCAAAAAGCTCACTCATAGAAAATGATTGTGGAAAGGTTTATCTGAATTGTAAAAGCTACAACCTCCTTCGATATAGTAATATCTATTGGAACACACATTTTTCTTCCAGCCCTAATATTCCTAGAAACATTTGTAAGGATTATGTTAATATTATTAATAGTTAAATTTTTTAAGTTAAAGTTCCTTTCCTGTCAAATTCTTAACTTCAACTTACTACTTTCGGCCAGAAAGTTGTTTCGGAATCATTCTGAATACTTAATGTGGAGAAGCGGTATTTAAACCGCGAAGTCTACTTGCAGAGTTAGAGAGAATCAGAGTTTCTGATTTGCGCGGGTCTGCCGTTTGGTTACTCTCTCTCTCAAAGCTGTTATTACGCTCGGCCGTACTCAGGCCCTTGATGAGCTTCGTAGTCAAATAGAGTTAAGGGGACAACTCGATTAGAATCTTGATAGCTTTGGCTATATTTCTTTAGTTAATCTTAGTTTTAGTTTAATTTTTAGTCTCTTAAGTTTAAGCCCAAGTGTCGATTTTGATTGTACATTCCAAGACGGAGTTTTGTTAAATCTTATTGGAATAATAAAGGGTTAGTTACCCTTCCATCTTGTTGTTTCTTGTTACACGAACTTAAGCGATTATTTGCTAACTAGTTCTTATTCGACACTTTCTACAGTAACTGAGAAATACACTATTGAGAATCTTACACATTAATAAAATTATATTTTTGATAACTGTCTTAGACTGACCATAGCGTCGGTTTGGATTGTTTGAATTATTTGGAAACACTGACTGCGTAAAATCTTATTGATAAGGAGTTCAGACGATGAAACGTCTAGCAAATAAATGCGTTGTGACATGTATTAATTTTAAATCAAATAAGATCATGATCCTTTATTCAAAACCTTTTGCTTAAAATTAACATCTCCACAAATAGTCGAAAGATAGTTTCACTTTGTTTGCAACGCAGATTATGCTATCCCGCATAATATCATTCATTAACTTTTTTCTTGAGAGCTGGGACATACAAGCAGGGTATTTTTGGGCAAGCTGCAATTTAAAAGCCAGTCATCCGTGATTAAAATGCCTGTAAGATGAGAAAGTGGTTCCAAAATCCTAAATCCTGGACTGTAGAGAAATGGAAGACTATCATTTGGTAGAATGAGTCTTGCTTTACACTGTCTCCAACTTATGAGCGAGTTATCTTACCCAAGCGAATGATAGACACTGTTTGCTTGCCGAGAGTGAAACATGGCGGGGGTTCGGTCATAGTTTGGGCAGCCATGCTATGGCATTCCATGGGACCCATCATTGTATCATGCAAGGTCACATTGCTGCCAAGGATTGTGTGACCTTTTAGCTTATCACGTCTATCCCATGGCACAAATTTTGTTCCCCAGTGATGATGCCGTATTCCAAGACGATCTTGTTCACTCAGCTCATATCATCCAGAATTGGTTTTCTGATCACCAGATATCAATATTATTGAGCCTTTGTGGGTTATTTTGGAGAGAAATCTGTGTGAGCGCTGTCCACCGCCATCATCTTTAACTGAATCTGCCAACGGTTTACAGGAAAAATGGTACACTAGCGACTCTCAAGAAAGTATATAAAACCTCTTTTTATTCTGAGAAGACTGCAAGTAGTTTTGAATACCAACAGTTTTCCTACAGCGTATTAATTACAGCAATATATTTTTATTTCGGCGTTTCCATGTTTTTGTCCAAACCCTGTATATGTCCCATTATAACCTTAAATAAAGCTGAAAGAAATATAATGTAGTATGGAGGCTTAAAATACGGTACTTAATGCGGAACGCCTGAATAGCTGATAAATGGACATAGAAACTGAGTCTCTAAAGCCCACGTGAAAAAGGTAATAAATGAAGTCCTTTTCATTCTTTTCCATGAAAAAAGTTCATGGAATTCTTTCCATGGAAAGAACGTTAATAACCTTCGATAACTCAGTTATATCAAAAAGACGTCCATGGAATATTTTCAATGGAAATTCGTTTCGTGGAAAGAATGAAAAGGCTTTCCATGAAAGAGTGAAAGTCATTTTCATTCTTCCATGGAAAGAATGCTGGCAACCATTGACAGCCAAATTCAGTTACAGCAGCTTTCATGTGAGTGACTTTCAGAAACATTTCAAACAGAAGACTTTAGAGCTCATTGTTTTTAACTCCAAAAAATCCTTCAAAACATTTATTTGTAATAACCACCATACATCAGTGGGACGAAATAGAACTGTGTCTATTTTGTTACATGAAATAAGAAAATCCTTACACGAATGAATTGGCAATTTGTAAAATAAATTAGAAAATGTTAAAACTTTTAATAAAGCTTTACAGTTCATCTTCCACTTTTCGGGAAAAAAAAGTATAATAAATGAATAAATAAAAATAATAAACAAATAAATAAACAAAATGCTCCGAATGAGTTAATACATTAAATATTTCTATTGTTCGTTCTAAAATTTTTTATACCGAAATATATCCTATCTTAGTCGCAGTACCGTTAATGCCAAGGCTAGTGTGTTTTAAGCCCAAGGAAATGGAGAATTGTTAATAGCGATAAAAATAGAAATATTGCATTTTATCGTAACTTTTATTTTATTTTAAAAGAATTTAAAAACAATTTTCGTGCAGTGTTATGTATGTAGTTATTCGAAATAAGTTTTCGAAATAAATATTAAAATTTAAAATAAAATAAATAAATAAAATCACAGTTAATTAGAAACTATTTTTTCCTTGATTTCTTTGCGTAAAATAACTTATTTGTTTTTTTTTGGAATTTTTTTTTTTTTGCATGATTAATTATTGTATATTAACTTTTCAAAAAAATCACTTATTTTTTTAAATAAAGAAATTTAATCTTGATAAACGGAGTTTTGAAACAAACTACTCTTCTAGCAATTGACTTATTTCTATTGGTTAAATTTGGAAAATATCATTTAAATTCTTCTTTGCTCAAAAATTTTTATTTTCATCTTTATAAAAGTTTTTATTCAATCTTTTCATATCATATAAAATGCAAATATTATCCCACAATACCAGTTTTATTCAATGAACGTGTCCTTAGGCTTCCCATATGCCTGTGGCATTAATCGGCCCATCACTTTGCAGTCCCACTAACGACCAAGCGGTTAGAACCGCTGAATACTAGTAGTTCGATCCAGGTTGGAACCTAGCCGAACAGCAGTCTGGCTGCATGGTTTGGTTTCTTGTTTTTTTTTTTTTTTCATTATGTAACATTAATCTCTATATGCTGATTTCTCTCAGAAAGGATTTTCATGAAGTCATTTTTCCGCAATGAAGACATCAATCCATCATCTAGGGTAGATAAATCTCGTCTGCTCTGCCATTTTAAAAATAATCTAACCTAGCTCATCACCTTAAGATACTATTAGATTACCATTTATAATCCTTTAACCTCAAAGAATATGTTCTGCGTTCGAAGATAACAAATGGGAACCCGATCGTGCTGTCATCATTAGGGTTCATCGTGTACGTATAGCTTTGCATGATGAACATTCTGTCAGTGTCTGTTATCTCCTTTATTCTCCGATCTCATCAGCGTAAAATCGCTGAACACTGGTAGCTCGGTTTGGGGTTCGAATCCCTGTGGAAAGGCTAGCTGCATAGACGTTTTCGCGATTTTTCCCCATGTGTAACATGTATACGAGCCAGTTTGCTTTAGAAAGTACTCCACAAAGGTATCTCTCCTGTCTTAGGCAGACAGCTGCCGAGTGCTTTGCCATAATGAAACAAACCAAAACTTTGTTCTCCATCAAAGTTCTGATTTAGATCTATTTAAGATTTTATTCAAATATTTTCAATCAACAGGTCAGATGCTTCAACGAATCATTAAATTTTAAGCTCTGGAAGAAGATTCCATAATGATGCTGAATGACGATATCCACGTATCTGTAGATTTTAAGCCAAATGGATGGTCTCTAGGTGCCTACACTCTAATAAGTTTCTCTTCTTCAAGAGAGAATATCTAATGTTTTGCTCAATGAGCTTACTAATAATAATGAGCAAAGTTCTAAATTTAATCATATATGCAATTTTTTGCATTTTTTGAGAATTTTCCTCTTTAAAGCATTTTTTAAAGAGTATATTTGGCTTTTCATGGCATTTTGTGGTAATTTCAGACCATTTTGAGGCATATTCTAGAAAACAAAAAGCTGGAAAACAAAATTACCTTTGAAATAACACTGTTTGAACTTCTCTGATCTCATTTTTACTAGGTTCGCATGTCCTATCCACAGAAAACTTATTATATAATCTGCTAGTCCTTATGTGCACGTCGAGAGGCTTTTTCCATACATTAGGTGTGACTGTCACTTCTAAGAATTTTTTTCCACACCGGCATTTCTTACCTCTTTAAAACATTTTCTGTACGTTCCGTTTCAAGGAATTGCATGTAGATGGGTAAAAGCTTTTCCAAAGGACATTTTCTTGTAGTTCCACACTCTCAGCTGTGCCGATTACGTTTTTCTACCTCAATCAAATCTTTTTTATTTTTCTTCTTTTAACTCAGCTGGTATAGTCCATCGGCGGTAAGTTAACAAATGAACTTGGATCTTTTAACTTTTAAAAGGAGACTAAGGGATCAGGAATGCGCTGAACGCAAATGACCTCCGGGACGTATTTTTCGCCAAATTTTTCTTCAGCCTCGAAAGTACCAAGCAGTATATTTTTAAAAATTTAGAATCGAAATGAGATTGTCGTAGAAGTAGATGTCGAAAGAAGCTTCTCACGGTATAAAAACTTATATACTGACAACGGAAGACCTTTTACTTTTGAAAACATCAAGGAGCCCTTAATAATCCAATGCAGTTGTAATATGTTTGTGTTAAGTTGAAAATTCGGAATTAAAAAATAAAATTCAAATGACGGGTATATGTAATTGGCTAGATTTTAATCCATTTTTGTCAACTGTGTCGTTTTTAATATTATTATTTTTGATTTTTGGGGGACGATTTTTTAATGTTAAGGGCATTGTCCGATAATTTTTTAAGGATGTCATGAAATTCTATATCTTTATAATGAGATACAAAACGAAAACAACTAATCTAAAATAGTATACTTTCATGGCGTATTTTGAATTTACTATATTGGGCATGAAGTTTTGTTGATCTGAATGCAAATGCAATTTCAATGTAATTTCTAAAATCACTTAATCAAGTATTTAATATTTTAAACTAATTTAATAAAACAGAAGCCAGTATAATTATCCAGACACAAAACTTACCTTATACATGGGCGTGCCCCAGAAGTCATTCATGAGTAGATTGGACCAGGGGCTCGTTGGCCTGAGATCTCGATTTTCACGGATGGCTGAAATGTCGTCGAAGACGAACCCACACTCCAGGGCGCCGCGGTAACAAAAGCACGCCCCAGCACATAGGAGGGCGTAACTCAGAGCTCTTGCCGGCTGAAACGAAGAAGAATTATACTTAAACAGCACTGGGAAGCTACTTAAATAAAAGATACGACATTCTGGCGAAAGAAATACGGCAACGGATAATGGAAATATCGTATGACATTAAAGAAATCATTAGAGTCCCCCCCCGAAGAAATCCATTCTTCGCGAAATTTGATTCAATATCTGCGTAAGAGTAATGATATCTCCAGATGGCAATTTCTTGGTCAGGCTGTCTCGACTGGCGGGCTTCGTAAATGAGAGCCCAGTAATTCCCGGCGTTAAATGCTAAACCATGAATTTTGAATGAATCGTATCTTCGTCGGAGATTTTCCAAATTATACACCATCTGAGAAATACAGCTTATTCACATAGTTTAGGTGCATACGTGCGAGTTTCTTTAAGCATGTGAAGTTCCGTAGAGCTGAAATTATGACTTCGGTTACTTCGATGGTTGATGAGTTCAAATATTGAATCTTCATTTTTAGCCCAAAGGGGCAATTTGCTCAGAAGGACTATTAATTCGTTTTGGTATTTTGCATCGTCGACTATAAAACGGCATTTCACTTTTCAAATTGTTGCCACCAAATAATTGAGCGCCGCATTATACTTAAAGAAATTACATACAGAAGAATCTACATGAATCTCGAACTGAGAAAAACAACGATACCTACAGACGCCAATTTTTGAATAACGTACTCCTCCACTCGAATACAGGCATCTAGAAGCCCAAATTTGGAATTTTTTGTATTATCATTTCATATTTTGTAAACCTTTGACGAACTTTTGATTAACAAAGTCGACGATTTCAAAACTAGAAATGGCAATACTGTACGAAAAAAAAAAATGATCTCCAGCGCACGATACTGTGTATCGTAAATTCTAAAGATGTGCTCTTTTAAGTATTTTGTGATATTGCCGTTGAATTGAAGTTCATGGTTTAAGTGCCAAGAACATGGTATTTAATAAATAAAGGCAAACATAAAACGTTAAAAAACGTCCCTTTGGCCGTAATATAAAATCTAAAAGCTTTCAGACTTTTTTAATTATTATTATTTTTTTAAAACTTTATAGCAGCTTAAGTTTCTACTTATTAGCACCAGAGATGCTATTAGTACCTAAACTCACTTTTGTGTCCGAATCACTTTTCAAGGTGTTGCAATAAATCTTATTGCCATGTATTATTAAAAGGAATTAAATAATGAAGAATCTGTAAGTATGTACTATGTATCTGAGTATGCTTTTCGCATTGTGGTAAAACGACGGCACGTAAAGCCAGCTAATTGTGAATACAAGTAGTCCTCTACCCGAACCTCAAAGCCTGAGGTTTTAATTTTTTTTTTCTATTTATTTCACATTTTGTACAAATTTAATGAATTACATTCAGCGATATGAGAGTGAGAAGTAGCAACGCTATTCGAAATAAGACATTTTTTATCTCCACCGCACCAGACTGTTATCATTCCGCCAAATTTAAGATATTTATCTTTCAATTTTAATCCTCAATTTTTTTTTTTCATTTGACAGAAATAATGAGATATTATTCTGTTTGAGGCTACTGTTTGAGGCTATTCCCGGCAATGCCCTTGCCGGAACTCGAACCTGGCCTTCTCGAATACGCGGTGATCGTTACACGCTAATCGTTACACCAGGAAGGTATGCTGAAAGGAGAGAGAATATATTTTATAAAAAAAAATAAAGCGAATATTTTTTTAAAATGCATAGAAATTCCTTAAGCTGTACTTCTTTTAAATATTCTGTGATTTTGAGCTTGAATTTTATGTGGCGTATGTGTGAAGAAAGCGATGGTTAATAATAAAGCTAAAAAGACAAAAAATATGTGTTGGCAGGAGTTAGTCCAAGGGAAGACTGGTAACCCGCAATGCTCAGGGAGAGCATAAAAACCTTAAAACATTTTCAGGTGCAATGTTTAGATCTGGAATCTTTCATGTTTTCTGATCTGGAAACATGAAAGATTGGAATCTTTCATTTTTATTTCATTCCTTTTGATTAATACACTTGAGCAAAGCTGTTCTTTCATCAGTGAGCTGTTAATGTAATCATTTCTCTTTTGCTTTCCTTATTTAGGAATTTCGTTATTTAGGATTCAGTTTATAGAGTTTAATTTGCTTTATAGCATAAAAGTTCTAAATTCTTAACAGACTTGGAGCGAATTATCGCTTGGCCTGAATTAACAACAGTCTTGAAAAGGTTTAGAACAACATTTTATTAAAACAAACCTTGAATATAAACGCAAAAATGCACTTTTTGTGCTTACAACATCAGCCACTACTTCTAACAATGTTACTTAAAGTATCATTTATTCAAATTTTAAAACTAAGCCTAGTAGTCAGAGACTCCACATTTGATTTCAAATTCGCTCACAACTTCATCATCAGCTTAACAATTAAACTTATGTAGCAAAGACACAAAGGCGAAGAATTACAATCTTTCAGAGCATGAAACAACGTAACGTAAGAGGCAGAAACACGCTCTGTTTTAAAATCCAAAACCCTTGATTGAAATACTCTCTAACCCATTTATGTTTCTGGCGAGGAAACGGAAAAGAGAAGTTCTAGTAAAGGCTGAAATTATAAATAGCTGAGTAATGAAAATAATAACTAATAACCTGAGAAGTTAATATGTTTACTTCAGCTTCTTAAACTGTAAAATGGCTCTAAATATCTAATAATATACATGCTATAACTATTTAGGATATACATGATCCTAAATACATATAGCTATTTAGGATATACATGATCTTAGATCTTTGTTATACCAAGGAACTTCGTAAATTCTTTCGCAATAATTACCTTTTATTTGATAATTCCTAATAGATAATTCTTTATTTCATAATTTTCATGTGAGTAACGCTTGAAAGTGCGTATGCTGTTAAGATGTTTCGTTCCTAGAGATCCTTTACAATACTGCTTATTAAAAAATTATTTATGATTTTTTGGCAGACAAAAATTACATAATTATTTTTATTCCAAATATTTAGCTTTGACAGGACATTAATATTTTCATGGAAAAAATAATTTTCTTTTTCGTCAAATTTGCTCACATTTTCTTATCACTTCTATGCATTAATTTCCAATCTAGCATTTGCATTCACATTTATCTGACAGCACATTTTTTCTTTCACTATACGTAGTTTATTACTTCGAAATTTAAAAGATAACATTAATTTATTTTTAAAAGAAAGCACCTGCATGTATGATTCATGACATCTCCATACTTTAATTCTTAAATTTTGAAAAATATAAACTTATCGAAAAATAACATTTGAATTTTTTACTAAATTATAAATAATTACTCTACGCTAACGTATGACAGTTTGGTAAAATTAAATAACGAGGTATACATACGCATACCCTCCTGTCAGTAGCAAAACTGTTAATTACAGTTATTAATAAAAGCATTCTTTCATAAAAAGTAACGAAAGTTGAAGGTGGTAGAACAAAAGCTAATTACAAAAGTCGGCAAAGATTAATATATCTTGTTGTATTTTGGCAACACCTCAAAAATTCTCCCGAATTCATTCTGCAATTATTTAAAGAAATAATTAATGCCGTGCACATCAAATCTTATTATTATCCAATCTATTCTACCTTTTCTTCTTTCACAATTTCCAGCTAATCAGTTAATTTTTTCCCTAATGAAGTAATACAAAAGAAATTTAAATGTTTCTTCGAATTTATTTCACCTAAAACAATACTCGTTTTATCATAATTCTTCTTTGCACGATTTATTGTCTTTAAATACGCCAGAATCATCTACTTCGCGTTTCCAGTAAATGAAGCAAGTCCTTAATTAGTGAAGTTATTTTATATTATAATTAGATTTTTCTAAATCAAAAATAAATATCATATTCACTATTTTCTTTATCAAGCGCTTTTGTTATCAGTTTGCATAGAGTTTCTAAATTTAAAATCGGTCATGATATTTTCAAAATCAAAAACGAGAATTGGAAAGAGTTCTTATAATGTAGAACTTTCCAATATCAGGAATGTAAATGCTCTTTATAATTTATTCTAACTAAAACAACGCTTCTTTTTTTAGCGTAGTTATTCTTTGCACTACTTATTGTCTTTACATTTTTCAAAATCGTCTGCTTCGCTTTCTGAAGCAGGAAAATGGTGAAGTAAGAATATAATTTGTGAATATATTTTAGAGTCTAATAAAAAATTTTAAACTGTGATATATTTCGCATTCACGAATTTGTTTACAAAACGTCGTCATTTTTCTGCATATGAGTTTTTGTCTAAAATCACAAATGATATTATATTTGATTAAATGATATTTGAAATAGAGGAAGGTAGCAGGAGAAAGAGTTATATATGTTCAGAGCTATTTTTAACATCACAAAAACCTACAATCTTGTATTTCCATTCTCTACATTTTGCAATGCCAAAATCACCATTCTTATATAATGTTGTTAATTAACTAGTAAACCTGCGATTATCTAAGGAATCGAATAAGCAAAAGCATGAAAATCTCTACGATACGAATTATATAGGAATGAGAACGGGGAAATTAGAAAGTAGAGAAAGCATCCAATTTTAAATTTGTATATATGGTTACCGGCAAATTCTGAAACCCGGCATTCTAGAGAATGCCTAGTCATTGTATGTAATACCTAAAACTATCCGGCAATGTATGAAACGATTCATATTTTACACATTTCCTAGGCATTCTTTACAATGTCAAATGACAAACCGGCAGAGTATGAAAACATTTCTGATTCATTTCGAAGAACCAAGCCAGAGTTAATAAATGATGTAAAAAGGCCAAAATGAATACTAAGAAGGAATCACGGGACTACTGGCTGCTGAATCGCTAGGTTGTGATGTTTGTGGAAAACAAAATTACATTCATTTAATCCTGTTAAAGAAAGCGTCATTACTCTCTAGTATTACGTCACGGACGCTGAATTATTGTGCGTACTTCATGAAAACTCATTTGAGTACTGAGCATACACTGTAAAAAGAAACCTCGAAGTTTACAGACAA